AACAACAAGTTTTCTGCGAATAATCTACATGAATACTCATAATATTTAATGCAAATTGAAACATAATATAATACATAAATAACGAACATTTAAACGTCTATTAGCAATGATTATGTAATGCCCATTGAAATATGTAACAGAATACGAACGCGCTTAATTGCGCTAACATTAGAGACGCATAAACCAAATATAAGGTTATACGAATTAGATTCAAATCAGCAGCTGTGTAAACAAAGTCGTCCATGAACTTCAAATAAATTAACATGAATAACCTGAATGAATCCTTACTGCGGCACTGGAAGAGTGATTTCTATAAAGTGTGTTCCCTATTATTTGTGAGCAGTTTGACATGGGGATTTACTATTTGGCGACCCTTTAACGATACAGCTGTTTTTTTATTCATCTGTTCTCCTCGATGTTTGAAATGTGTATTTTTATCAAGTGAATATACGAATTAATTTTCACAACTTCGGGGTTTCTCTCTTATTTTATTTATACTGCAATATCGAATACCCAATATGGTGTTTTCCATTTGCACGCGCAAAAAAGATCTCAAATTTCTTCAGTTGTTCCCCCTGTTCTCAGTACCGATCTCATTAAAAATAATAATTGTACGTTGTATATTGTACTTCGACAACATAAAAAAAAATGTATAAATAAAAATTGTATACTACAATTACGTTTTTCCGGGAGAAACATTTAATTAATAAGCTAACAGTTTTATTGTATTTATTTACATTACTTATAATCTGTAAATAATATAATATATGGAATTTGTCATAATTAAAAATTATTTTAAACACATTGAAAACTACTTTTTAGATCAACACAAAAACGAATAATTTCGTATTAACTAATGCGTTTTTTATTCTATTCGTTTATTTCTCCGCAGTTACTTCACCCTCATAATTCTGTGGGAAATCGATACAGCTTTGTTGTATAAAAAAAAAATGAGTAGGATCGTATCTGGTTGAAAACACAGAAACCCTTACACTTTTTTTTTCAAAACACCCTTTGAAATGAAATATAGGGGTGATATTCTAATGACGAACAGACCCGACTTTTAAAAACTACAATAAGAACTATAATTATTTTACGTAAAACGAAGAAATCCAATAATATTCGTTCATCATCAATTAATATATACTTTGTGTTAACGCAAAATAAAGTCCAAGCGTTTCCTATAATACTATAGGAAAATGTGCGATTAACAAACGTCCTCACGTACAGTTATAATTACATATGAAAACAAAAAGGGTGTTGCCTAATGATTTTCCCCAAATTAAATCCAATCGATAAAACATGTAAATATATGCAAATTTTTATTATTCAGATACAAAAAAGGATCGAAATACAACCTTAAAAAATGTTCATTTGTGCCTTTTTGCTTTCTCTCTCTCTCTCAACACACCCCTATTGATTCGGCTTACAACCCAGCATGTTCCTCTCTAAGTGGCCATTTCGACAACCTTTCAAAATGCACGCTCACACAAACATCTCACCCCTATATTAAATAGAAAATACTATAGAAAGTCATGTAATAAAATTGATTTTAACCCTCAGTAGCTGGATATCCCTTCGCGACCAAAGGATATAGTGAACTATTATCAGAGGCGCTTTAATCGTAAATGTGTTTTGTACACAACGCGATGGGGAATTCCAGGTCTTCCAGTATAATTTTATTGTAATAGTATAAACGAGTGGAGAAACGACTTTTTTTTAGGCTAACGACATACCCTCGTTGCTTAATTATTGTCTCTAACGCCATACACCTCCTCTCTAAAGTATCCTTGTAATTAGCAACGGCCATGTAACCCAGCGCCGTCGGTTTTTTGTATTTTCGAGTTTCGTCTCACATTTATCCCGTCCTATATAATTAATCTTTATTATATTAAAAAAAAAATGTTTTTTAAACTTCCTTACTATTAAACATACTTCTCTAAAGAAAAAAAAATACTCGGTATGCTCAAAAATAGATTAGCAACTATCATTTTAATTAAACGAATAAAGGAAAATTATTTTTTTTTGTTTATAACACGATTCCCTTTGTAGTACACATAATGTTCGCTCACCGCTCTTAATTATAATTGACTTGGAAATAATATAACATTTAACACTATTTGTACAACACAATATGCTTAACGATATTTTTCTCAAACAAATGTATTTTCCCTCACTTTCAGCAGAAAAAAAAACAAAATAAAAAACAATGAATGGAAGCAATTTGTAGTTTCTTTTTTCTTTCAGCGATAAATAATTGTAGCGTTACTTTGTTTAGTTTAATTTAAACACGTATCTTGGTTAGAACTTTGGGGCAAATGGAAAACAACAATAGTCTACAGAATTGTACACTGTGTATACTACAAAAAAGATATACCCGTGAAAAAAGGGTCAAAAGTTTTAAACAAAACAACAACAAAATATTTTTTTCTCATTTATATACTTACAAATACATGGTTAATCAAAAATGTTATCAAAATAAGTGGAAGAAGAGTAATCGACAATACTTAATAAAAAAGTTTATAACTACTAAATAAACGAATGCGTCCTTGACAGGTTAAGTTCAATTATTAATAGTGATACTTTTATAATGGTGTACAAATTGTATAGAATAAAGAATACATAAAGTTGTAAGCTTACAACTTATATTTCATTGTTTCAACGAAGTATTAATTTAATATTGAATATAATTTCAAGTATTCAATATTTTCTGACAGTTATTATGTAACTTATTTAGGTTATAGTATTATAAAAAAAGAAATCATTTTAAAAAATACACAAGAACTCGAAAGATAAGTGATCAAATTGTAATAAAATATTAAAACTATTAAGGTAAAACTAATTTAAGTTTTTATATAAAAGTCGTAAAATAAAGATTTAAACAACACCTAAAATATTATTAACAGTTAGGAAATAATTTATATATATATATGTACATTTTTTTTAATATAATCTAATGTAAGAAATATGGAGCCACTTTCCAATCTTACCCAATCTCCTTAGAGGTGCTCTCAAGTAAACAAATAAATTATGTTTAAAAATCTCGTGTTTGTAAGAATAAATAGAACCTATTTTAGGGAGTACCTTAATATTCAAACAAATAATAATATTAATTAAGCACTATACAAATGATTTGATTATAGAGTTTTTTAAGAATAAAGTAAATTAGGTTTGAATATGCATACTTTTTTTTGTTAAAGTTTTTAATTTAAATTGCAACAAAAATGTTATATATCATCATAGATTTCTTATATCGACTACATAATTTAATAGGTATAAAATATTTGAAATACAAAATTATCAGATATGAGCAGAATAAAACAAACGAACTTATTGTTGAAATTGTACCCCTAAAATTATTTAGTTTATAATATACCACGATTATGTCTATGACTCTGACATTATATCTGTAACAACTGTGAATAAGTGTGTAAGTCGAATTTTGGTCAAAACTGACTAAGTACGCTAGGATGTCGTCCAAAGCGCCTAGCACACCTTGAATAAATGTCTAACTCGTGGGACCAACAAGAAAACCTTGAGAGAGATGTGAGTTCCTGATTATTACATGCTGATATAATATGGCAGCTGGTTAATTTAAAATTGCTCCCCTGTAAAATTATTAAAATCGACTTAAACACTTATTCACAGTTGTTACAGATATAAGGTAGCATTTTTCAAAAATGAAGTTTTAACTTATTTTGATTCACATTTTTTTTCCTATTTTTTGATCCGGGCAGGTTAATTTTAACATAAAATGTTTTAAGGCAAAATCAAAAAGAGTCAAGTACAAAATAATCATAAAGGTACTTAAAATAATAGATTTTTAATCACGTTATTTTTTAATATTACAACTATAAAAACAAACAATAAATAATACTTGTAACTATAGTTTAGAATAATTAACCCACATAAAAAAATCCCAACAAATCTATAATACCATCTAGTTTATCATAATATTCCAAACGATACACCAGTATTCGTTTTGTTCGAAATACTCAGTCACCAACACCAAAGATGGAAGAAATATCTACTGTATACGTCTAAACAGGAAATGAATAATAAACCATTGATTGTTACGAGATTGAAATAAGTAACTTAGGTATACCGTATAACCCATCCGGTATCTTGAGCCCGTTCGGTCATTACGATTTCATGTAAAGGTAATGAGCGAACGGGCTGAAGATGAACTGAACGGGTTTTACTTGTATAATATTGTGAGAACAAAATTTAGGTTTTTATTCGTCTAAAAAAAGAACTATACTTTAGGCCGTGTACTGTAAACAGACTACTACGGTGAAATAAAAAGGGGGAAATAATTGAAGCGTGGTAGAATTAGCCTTTCAGATTGTCGACGAACAGATGCGCGTTTCAAGAACACATGTGAGGCCCCATCGGTGTCTAATACGGGCCGGCACCGATCATAACTATTACGTGTGGTTTCTTGGGTTTTACAAATTGTTTTTTTTTGTTTTAAAAAAATTACAGTAAAACTTCCAATATTTTAGTTTACTGTGGCATGAAAAAAAATAAATGCCGATCTCATCGAAAAGGAACGAAAATGGGACCCGAGATATTCCGGGCACGTCGATTTGGCCGTAATCACCCAGTCCGTTTCTTTGGGCCGAATCCATCCAATGGCACTAGCGCCTGAGGGTAATGACATATCTATACATCGTGCGAGTATTCGAAAGACGTTCAAAGATTAAAAGGCCTTGATGACTCATCATCAATCACCAGCCGATATGAGGGATCTCCACCACCACCCCATAACCGTTGCCGAAACCGCGTGGAGGTCGGCGTGCGGTTCATCGGTTCGCACGCGGCCGACGGGGAACCCCGACGGCGTCTACTGCCGGCCGCCCAAGCACCCCTTCAAGAATTGCATCTGGCCTCTAAAAAGCAAACGGCCCGGCCGCTGCTTCGTAATTAGCTGTTAACCGTTGTTGTGGTCCGGCCAAAGGGACAATAATATTATTACTGTTAAATGGAACAAAACTCACTTCGAACAGCAGATATTTTCGGTCGGACGTTTTCCTGCCATCCCGCTTCGGCTTCAGGCGCCCACATGACCGCTGTTATCAGCAGAGCGACCGCGCCGATTAAAACCGGCGTTTTCTTCATGGCCAACTGCAGTCGTACGGACGACATTTGACGTTGTTGTACACGTAGTACCGGTCGGCCGTTCACATCGAGTCGATTTACGGAGAAACTGAACGGGTACAACGAAAATACCACGAAAGGATAATGATAATTAACGACTGTTAGTCTTTAATACTAAAACAATAAGAGTATTATACATACATATATATGTTTATAAATATCACGAAAACACGAACACGTGAAAGTGGTCAAATCAAAACACCGCGTTAGCTATTAATTACTTAACAAAAAAAAAACTATACATTTTTTTTTAAACCGATACACGTTGGGGGTAGGAAGAGGAGAGCGAAATAAAAATAACGAATTAAAGGATATTGTGTGTGCGTACGATAACAGACGTTCGCGGCGGGACTGTGTGGTCGTCGGCGACGCGCGACTCAGCACCACTGACGCAATGCGAATCCGAGACAACGGTGGCAGCCCGACCGGCGCATGGTCATCTAACGACAACGGCGACGGTGGCCGTTACGGTAGCCGCTGCGTTCAACGGCATGCTCAACAACAGTGGCCGCATGCATCTGAAACAACAATTGTTAATAATTATTATTATTATTATTATTCTTTGTTAGGTATTATTGTTATTATTACACCATATTATTAACTGCACATTATTTTAGTACAACATTATACGGTCGGCGATGACCAAAAAAAGCCCATTTCATTGACGCTGTACAGCCAAAACCCGAGGCGAAGTGGCCAGTCTGGAATTAAGAATTTTCCAAATGGTCTGAATCATATAGAATAGTGTCCTAATTCGGATTAAGTGAGAAAATTCCTATAAACTTAATATAGTTTAATTCTTTCTGTAAAATATTTGCTAGCTATTTTACCTAAAATAAGTTTTGTATATATTTTAATCTTTGATATTAATATTTATTTTACTAAAAAGTTTATCTACAAATTGTAGTTAATATTATTGGTTGTTCATAAGTTACATTAGCGCAACATGAGGGAGGCTGGAGAAGTTCAGACTCTTTTAAACTATTAAAGCTCCCTAAGAATTTCAGTAAAATAAAAACGTTACTTGAGAGCTATGTAATATGCACTGGCGCCACTAGCTCTAAAATATCGGGGAAGGAGAGGCTGAAGTCCTACAATAAATTTAGTTAAAAATAACCAGAGCGCGACATCGCCATCACCCAACTTCTAGTGTAGTACTATAGCAAAATTATATTTACTTATTATTGAAATTAAATATATTATGTCTTAAGAGATACCTATTTTTTTAGAGATGTGGCCATTTCTGATTTTTAGGTAAAATTAACTTTTCAGAATTGTTTTAGAATATAATTAAATCCAACTTACTTAATAATTAAATAAATACAAACGACAATTTGTGATGTAAAAATTGGAAGGGTTCCTACAGGCTGCGTTGCCCTCTAATTTTCAAAAATTTAATTTGTAAACGTCATAATAAGTTTGACTATCACAGTTTTTAACTTTTTATTTGGGTAACTATGTTGAATATTAAAGGACGATGCAGTTTGGGAAAAAAATATTATTAAATTATTATCTAATCACCACACGTTTCATTTCCCGTAAAATTATTGTTTAATAATAAAAATATATAAGCGGTATAAAATATATTATATTTACGGATTTACCTCAATTAAGTCAAGCTATATATGGAACAACCACAGTTTACATTTGGCCTTAATAAAATACATAGTAAAATATTCTAATAGTTTTGGGAATTATTTAAATATGAGAAAACTTGAATTCAAATATTTTGGATTCGAAATGATAAAAAATCGATTTTACAATCCGAATACATTACTTTTTAAATTTTGAGTCTTTAAGTTAAATAACTCGACTTATCATTAGTACTTGAATCCAAAATATCCTAGTTTGAATTTTCGAGTCAATATTATTTCAACTATGCATTTAGCTCTTTTGACTGACGAGGTCTGATAATTTAGCGGACTAGACGCCTAGTAAAAAATATTATAACTTAAAAATTCCATCTATAAAGTAAGGCCGACCTTAATTCCATTTTTTTCTTTAATGTATACAGGATAATCATTTTATCGTAAGACACGCTGCGATATTGTTTGCATGGTACATTATTATAAAAATACTAAATATGTACCTTTTTAAGTATTTTTAAAAGCTCTAACATCAGTTGAACTTAAATAGTAATGCAAATATTTAATTTACTTGTTTAATTAAATATAATTTTCTAAAAATTGACTGGTCGATAACCAGTTTTGGATAATTCATTTTAAAGTTATTAAAGTTTAAAATTTACGACGGTAAGTGGAGTGCGCAGTTGAGTAATGAGCGCAAATAAAAATAATACTACACTCCACCCTTCCTCTCGTCCTAATTTTTAAACTTTAATAACTTTAAATGTAATTATCCAAAATTGATTATCCACCAGTTAGAATTTTCAGAAAATTATTCTTAAATCAAAATGTTAGTTAAATATGTACGTTATCATTTAAGTTTAAAAAGTCAATACAGATCTGGAAAATACTAAAAAAATTAATATTTAGTGATTTTATATTAATGTAAAAAAAACACAAATAATTAAATATTTGCAATAGAAAAACTACAAACCCGTTTTTACTTTGTAAAAATACATGTCTTACGTTAAATTGATCACCTGGTACTAAACCGTAAATATAATTTTTTTTAATAAGCAAATAAAAAACTATTTTAGAAAATTGGAAAGGGAGGTTAAAATACTTTTTGATCCTCTACAACCCACCAAAAAGTGTCAGTAGCCCCATCTAAATGACAATTAGTCTTTCTATTGTTTTAATAGTTTCTATAATATATTCCATATAATAATATTGTTATATAGGTACAACTTTTAATCGTTTAAAAAATGGTTGGTGCTAATATTGTATTATTACAGTTAACATATGATTGTTACACAATAGTTTTGAATATTGTAATTTGTAATTTAGGAGCAAATATATTTAGCCAATAACTAAATATAGTTTATTAATTTTAACAATTGATTTAGCCGATTTATATACATTTTTCAAATAGGCAGTTGTGCAACATTATTTAAATAAATAGTAAGTGATAGATAATAAACTATTTAGTAGAAACACAATAGATGATTCTACCTGTCAATATACGATACGGGTAACCACACAAAATATGTTGAAAATATGGAGTTCAAAAGCAAAACAAAATAAAAGCACTTGAATATATAACATATTACATATGTATAACAGGACCAACTAAAATATTTATTTTATACTAATGAGTTGTTAAGTGTTCTTATAATTCTAAAAGCATCTGGAATCTAGAATAACTCTAATCGCTGATTTATATCGCGGTGACTATGAGTTTGTTTTTTAATCTAACAGATTTACATTAAATTTATGGAGCACTTTTATTTTTTTTAAAAGACATAAATAGTAGTTAACTCGAATTTCTAAAATTAAAGCGCATACCCGATTTAGACAGTACCTAATATACATTACTCAAGTTGGTTTGGGCATATGTATACACACTGTTGCCAGGTTGCATAAACGTTCATTAAATGTTTAACGACATTAAATATTATGTAGTGGTTTCTATTAAACATCATTTAATAGTCCATAATTATTGGTCTATTAAATATATAATTTTTCTGTGTAATTCGGCTGTACTAATACGTTTAAAACTAAAACTGATATAATTTATAAAATCTGTTCTATATTCTCCGGAGAGATACTTATTTTATTAGCTATTATTTAAGTCCATAAAAGTAATATATTTTTTTAATGCTGAGCTGTGCTAAATCAACATAGCTTTATTTTTTTTTTTATCAAACTAGTAATCGAGAAATATAACTGTTAATATTTAATAGAACGATATGTCTAAAATTATATGTATAAAATAGATTTCCGAAATACACATTACACAGCATATACATTAAATGTTTACCATACATAAGAATAATAAAATCATATTTTGTAGAAACGATAACAAATAAAATGTTGTAAGTATATAGTAGGTACTTATAATTCACGATTTACGACTTAAGTTATGAATTAACAAGTAAAACACCTGTTACTAAAAACAAAATATTAACTTTTATATCTTCACTACTACTTTTTTTCAATTTTAATATTTTATTAGAAAAAATGTATTTACCTGTATAAGTTGAAAATAAAAAGTTACTAAATACAATATATCACAAGATGTTCCCGCCTTTTATTTAAAACCCGTAAACGAGAAAACCCTTACTTAAAAAAATAATATAAATGTAAAATTATTCCGAAGAACCAGTAATGGAAAAATACAAAAAACAATAAAGAAATTAATATTTAAAACCCTTAACCATAAAAATTATTATTGATATATTAATTAAATAAATTATTTTTATGGTTAAGGCTTTTAAATATTAATTTCTTTATTATAATATATAAAAACCATAAGTTGTTGTTTTTTCTAGATTACAAAAAAACCTTTTAATACATTTGTTATATTATGATTTGTCGTTTTGTTTATAATTAGCTCATAGTTTATAAATGATAACGAAAAGGGTGAAATGAACGCCAATCCATACATTGTATAGTTGAATGACCAAAAGTATACATAAAAACTGCATAGGACATTTTTAATAGTCTTTGTTTTGGAAGTCGCGTTACTGTAGATAGGTCAACTCATAACTCAAAGGTCTTGTCTTATATCGTTGCACTACTACATTTGAATTTATTTACATTAGGTACTGCATGAGTTAAATACATGGATTGTCTTTAATTTCAATCCAATCATTTACAAAACAAAACATTGTCATGTTAGTATCAGTAGACATATTTCGGTTTTCTATGAGGTACATGACACATACATAATGCTGTGACGCTCAAATATTTTGTTCCTGTAAAAAATATAAATTTGTCTAGGCTGTTTTATGCAACATTACAATATTTTTATTATTATTAAAAGTTTCATGGACCTCAGGACAAAAAATTCGGGTGTGGTAAAAGTAGGTAAAACAAAAGATTTGGTTAACTTAATAGATGATGTCCGAGCATTTAAATAAGTCCTAACAACTAACCATGCTTATAATAATTAAAATATAAATATTTTTAAAAAATACTCCTCAATTTCTTTTAAAAATAATAAGTAATCTAACAACCAAAGGCCTTGCAATATTAATTACATACAGCAAAATACTGATAAACATTTTTATAGAAGGTTGAGGGCTGAAACCAGTAACAAAACTACAGCCAAAACCGCCCGAGAACATAACAACATCATCTCGTGCTCTATAATATAATATATTTAGTCTATATGTAAAAAAGTATACCGTGCAAAAATGCCTTAAAATAGTATACACTACCTCAGGGAACTACCCTTTCTTTTCTTGTAGTAACTACGCCACTGGTTTTAAAAAAGACATGTATTATTTTGATTTTTAAGCAAAGAATAAGTGAATAAACTATACATTATAATATAATGTGAACAATTTTATTCACATACCAAACGCCAAAAAAATGTATTTACACTTTTAAATCATAGTAAAGTTGTGTTAAAATAACAATTGTGCAAAAATAACCTTATACCTAAATAA